TGCTCGGAAGGCTACGAATAGTCAGTACAGGTATGCATGCAGCAATTAGCAATCATCCCGGCGAGTCAAAAACAACGACGGCTTACCAAGTCATGTGATTGCATCCCTCCTTTAGCTCCACCACAGCCTTGCAGTTGTAGCATCTCTGCCAGCCTTTCTCTTTGGCCATCTCTACTAAGCGATTGGTCTCCTCATCCTTTGGGCACTCCTTTCTCGTGTGGAATTTACTGTTACAGAGAACACATATTTTAGTCTGGCAGGAGCCACATCGTGCATATTTCCGGCCGTATGTGAGGTCCATCCGAATCCGTGAAGGCTTGACCCATTGTCCGCAGCCCTTGGAAGGACAGTAAAGCCGATTTGCCGTAGTATACTCCTGGTATTTCTTGTTCCATAAGATCTTGAACTTATCATCGAATAATCGCTCAGCGTATTTGAGTGGAATATGCTCTGTCGTGCAGCATCGGGGGGGCATGTGCTGGGGATCTTGGACAGAGAGGGTGAATTGGCGCTTCAAGCATGAGTGGCACATGCGATGGCCACAGGCAAGCTTAACGGTCTTGTTGACAGGCAGGTCATCGTTCATACAGACAAGACAGTCAACTAATCTTGGGACTTCCTTGCGTGTGGCGGCAACAGGGGTTCGCGATTGGGGAGGCCGGAACAAGCTTGCTAGAATGCCCCCTTTTCGAGAAGGTTCCTTGGCAGACTGTGTGCGGGTGACTGGTGCGGGTGACGGCGGCGATTTTACGTTGCTTGTACGTCGCACTGATTGTCTCGATGACAGGAATCCACGGCTCTGTTCGCGGATTGATGTACTTCTAGAAAGTATCAGTAGAGAGACCAGAGATGCTTGGTTCCATTTTCGTACCTGCTCAATTTTGGCAGCTCCATCCTGCGACCAGAAGTAGATCCGGAGCCCGACCGTGGACTGTAGGCTGTCCTGGAGGATCCACCCTCCTCACTCCTCCTGAGCGCAGAAGACCTTCGAACGTTGACGTCTTCGACCACGCCCCTTGACTTGGGTCGTCCATAGACAAAGTCATCACTTCTCTCCTCCACGGCCTCCTTTCGCTTCACACGGCGTGAGCCATCTCGCCTGAGTTCGCCACGGTGACTGCTGCGAGACTTTTCCTTTGCCGAGTCCATGCGTCGTTCCTGTGCCATGCGTTCACCACGCCGGTCTGATTCACCCCGGCTGTAGTAGGATTCTCGCCGCGCTCTCAAATCATCAATGTCGATTTCTGCCTGTCGCCGTGCCTCTTCGGCGCGTCTGCGTTCTCGTCGTTCCCGCCTGGCCTCGTCGTCGTAGTCGCGGGATTTGTGTCGTTCACGTCTGGTGTCGTCGCTGTGGTCGCGGGATTTGTGCCGTCGTCGATGGCGGCGCTCGTCTTCACGGTGGTGGTCGTCGGCGAGGTATCGCGTGCCTCGCTCATCCCGATCCCTCGCCATGCCCGGGGGCCCTGCAGGCGATTTATTGCTCGACGGGCAGCCAGCCTGACAAGGTCACAGGCTTCTGGCAGCACGTAGGCAAACTGTGCATGCAGCGCACAAAGAGAAAGCGATATTGTGGAGAGTTGCGGTGGGCGTGACGGGCGGACACACTGGACAGCGAACACCTGCAGACAGGCCCAGCCCGATCAAACGAATGGGTTGACCACTTCCAGGGGGCAAGCCCCCAGGGGTGAAAAGTGCAAAGGGTTTTTTTTGATCCAGCCCATTTTCCCTTTCTTTTCAGGGTCGTTCGTTAGGGGTTAGGGGAAACAGGGGGGGGGGGGGGGGGCTGGCGTTGGGCTGGCTTCTGTCTTTGAGTAGGTAGGTACGGTTGGTACGGTTGGTAGGGATGTTATACTATACCGGTACTGCCTGTGTGACTGTGTGACTGTGTATATAGGGGGAGGATGACGGATGATGCACCACCACATAGTACGTACCTATGTGGACGTACTGGTACCGACATGTACACAGTAGTAGGCAGGCAGGCAGGCGGACAGGTAGGCCACTGTAGAGTATGTACCGGTAGGTATGCACTCTGGCTTGGGGCCAAACTTTGCCCAGCTGCCCGCTTCAAATGCCCGCTCTCTGCATTCACTCCGCATTCGTCTACCTTAGATATGCGGAGACGTGTCGCTGCAGGAGCCAAAAAAAACTAAACAAAAACTGGGTTGGGTCATGGATCTGCCCACACCGACCTCGCAGCCTCACTCCTCACTCCTCACTCCCACTCTGCCCTATGTACCGGGGCGACGTCGTTTGAACTTTGGGCTGCAAAAAACCTGAGAAGCCATTGCGTATTCGTGGATGCTGCTGATGCATGCATGACTCGCCGCTCCACTGCCATCTGCGTACCGTAATCGTAGTAGTACAGCAAAACCTAAAACGCAAAAATTCGACAGTGCCCAATGCAAACCCTTTTCTTAGTCCTTCTCCAGTGTAATCTGTGTGGACACCTCCCACCTCTGTCCCCCACTGCCATAGCCTCCGCCTAAGCGATTGCGCACCATGCTAGCGATGCGATCGCGCAGTCGTCCAATTTCGTCCAGATTACGCACACGTAATCTCAAATTGGCCTGGCACAGTCCGTAATGGACCTGCCAGAATTTCGCTTCCTCGACGGTGCTGATCGCTGGGTCTATCTCTAGGTCGTACATGACATCCGACACTCCGGGTCCTGAATAGGACATGAGCAGCATCTTTCCCAAGGTCCAACCTTGTATCCAGCCAAGTGCCACCATGGCAAATGCCACCGAGAAGGAGAGCGTACGATCCAACCAGACGTACATCTGTATGCTCAGAAGAGGCAGCAGTAGAAGGAGTGTGGAGCAGGAAAGTGTTAGGAAATGCGAAGGGTTGCTCAGCACCCACGGTAGGTTGGCAATAGCACTCAGTCGCATCACCTTCCCAATCCGAGCGTGATTCTTCAGCAGAATCGCCGACACCAACGTCGAAACAATGCCACTGAGGGCGGCAAGATCAATGCTGCCAGGAGATATGCGCTCGTGGCCGTCGGCGTGATGCGCATGATGCCCGCCCGAGTTTTCCAGGGCATGGGTCAAACCATGAGATATGAGATCCAGTCCCATGAACAAAAGCCCCACAGACATGCCCAGCCCAGCAATCACCTCCAGGCGTTCAAATCCGAAGGGATAACGGATGCTGGATCGTTTCCAGACCTCAAAATTGGAGCCCACGTCGACAGCCACGCAGAGGAAAGCCCCAAGGGCATCGTAGAACAGCAGCCGAGACAGCACCGTGAGGGCCAGCGACTCGTGTGCACCCCATTGCACAAGACCGGCCACAACTAAATGACAGAAACACCATGCGAGCCGTAGCTTCTGGTCCTTGGACATGGAAGACCGGTACTCGTTGAAAGTCGGGATGGGAAGCGAAGCCGGAAGTTGGAGAGGGGCTCGTGTTGCTGGCTCGAGGAAGATCTGATGGGAGACACTGCTGTGTTTGTACTTGTGCCCTCGCCGGCGACCAATATCCTGCTATTGTCAGTCCAATCCGTGCAGCGTGAAAGCTCTGTGCAGCGTGAAAGCCACGACGCACATTTTGTTTGACCTGGGCTTGCCCAGGCTGGTATGCGACTGGCTGGAAATTGAAAGGATTTGGATTCTCCGTTCCGCTCATGGAGTGTGCTTCGGTATTGAGAGTTCCACTTGCAGCGCTTGCTGGCGTGTATGGGAAGGTCGCGCTTGTGGGCGTATAGAGCGTGTTTGGCGACGCCATCTGGGAGATGGAATCGCTCGGTCGTAGAGTCGCGTACTGTCTGTGAGGAAAGGTGGCAGACATGGGCGAGAGCGCATTCGGATCAAAACCCAGGTCGCCGGCAGATAGCTCGCCTTCGAATCCCAATCCAATCGGTTGTGGCGCATCTTCGTCTTCGTCAGGAGGCGGCGTCGGCGTCCGTGGGGGCCTCGGCACTGGCATGTTTGACGCCATGACGACAGAACAGTTGGAATGGGTCTCCTGAAGACAACACTTGGTCGGTACTTCCACGAGCGACAGCAATGACAGTCCAGACGGGGTCCGAGAGTCTGGACGGGAGTTGACGGCGGAGATTGGAGAGAGAGGGGCTGGAGGCTTGCCGCATGCAGAATAGCTCGTCGCCATCCGAACTTGCCGCTGCATTGGCAGCCAATCTGAGCGCTACAACACCGCGGCTAACAGACCCACTTCGCTGGTCCTGAATCAATCCTGAATCCTGAATCCTCAAGTATCTAGGAACAACGCTCGTACACACTGTATATTGCATCCAACGCATCCATCCAGAACATGACGACAGACAGTTGATTAAAATTACCCTGGGCTTTGCGCTCATTTCCCTGTGTAGCGTTTTCGCACAATGGAGGGGCGGGGTGCTTCCAAGTCGTCCAAACGTTTCCAAGTGACAACAGAGTCGTCAAGCCCTCGGAATGCGGAAAATGGACAGCTTGAGGGTGATCGCAATGTCCACAGAAAGAGCTCAGCTGGGGGGCTTCTCCGTAGCCTTTCGTTCTTGAAGTCGAGGGACTCGGTGGTGAGGTCGCAAAAGAAGGACTTTGGGGAGCTCGGGCAGTCGGAGGATATGGACATTACACGCAGCGGGGCCTCCGTTGTAACTGCCCTTCGCCAGAGCCAAGGCAGACAGCGTAAAGGGTCGTTGAGACAGGCAGCCATGGCCAAGATGCGAGAGCGAAGTGGCTCGTTACGGAAAGAGCGAACGACGCCCATCATCACCACTACAACAAGTGCAGACTCGCCCCAGGACAAGGCCATCTCTCGTCCGGGCGATCACGCCAACAAGCCCATCAACTTACCGGTATTCCCGGACGCCGGACATCGTTCGCTCGGGAAGGATTTCGGGGCCATGCGTGCAACCAGTCACCAAGCATCGCGGTTGCTTGAATCACCTATACCCAGCTCGGCCGAACTGTATGCATCAACTACTGACGAAGATGACCACATGTCTTTCTATCGCCCTGCTGCCTCGAGCAGTGCATCTTCCTTCAATGTCTCGAACCAAGGGCCGGCCATATCACTTGCACGGCGCCGTTCGAATCGCGTTGAGCAACGTACACTAGCCTCGGCCGTGCCCACGACACCCGAAATGGACGTGGACGAAGAGTGGGATTACAGCGAGACGGAATGGTGGGGATGGGTTGTGCTTATAGCAACATGGGTTGTGTTCGTCGTCGGCATGGGTTCTTGTCTGGGCGTGTGGAGCTGGGCGTGGGATGTTGGCGAGACACCATCTGCTCCGCCTGATCTGGAAGATGATGACACTTTGCCCATAACGGGATACTATCCTGCCTTGATGGTCTGTACAGCAGTCATGGCCTGGGTCTGGGTTGTCGTTGCCTGGGTAGGTATGAAGTACTTTCGGCATGCCAAAGTGGGCGTGGACAGTTGAACTGGCTGTCGCTCTATGCAGTATGGCTCATTCTTTCATCTCGCTGACAAGGTCTCGCATGAAATCTGCATGAACCTGACAATCGGTAATTCTTTCCATTTTGGCCAGGTTCGCTTAAACGTTCTGCCACATGGATAATATCAGGATTCTGAAACAATACGCCACGATTTTTGGCCCACCAGAACGATTCTTTCAGCCTTTCCTCACTACTGAACACCTCTTGCCTGCGAGGGCCTTCTTCTTACCGCACGCCTCATCCTCTTGGGTGGGTTGCTAGTGAGAAGTGTCACTCATTTCTGCATTCCAGTCTCTTACGAGATGGTTGTACTTACCACTAATCGTGTTCGGCAGCAGTTCCCTCGGCGCTCGGTCCACTTGACGTTTCAGTTCCCATCCGCATTGCGGACAAGAGAGGATACTCGATCCAAGTGTGAACTATTGCAGGCTATTAGGGTGTCTCGTAATTTCCGATTATGCGAGATTGAAGAAAGGATATTTTGGGTCTTGAAACCAGGGTAGATTGACGCAATCTATCTGCTCACAAAATCTTTAAAGCAGTTCCTGGTCTCGTAGTCCATGCGCATATCGTTCGTGACGGCCTCGGAGGATCGAGAGTCATCCAGAGGTATGGGTCGAAGTCCAAAACGGAGATGCACCACAGCAGGCCAGGCGTACGACATGAAAGCAAAGTTGGACAGCAAACCTTACGACTACACTACCATTGGATCATCTGTACAGACGCCAGGGTTTATACTCGATCACGCCCAGAACCCTTCAAAGACCAGAACGCTTCGTGAATACTGTGGAGTCCCTGGACCAAGGCCGTTTCCCTTCTTCGATCTACCCCAAGAAATACGCGATCTCGTATATTCCCATCTCGTGGTGTACTCCAAATCCGAGGCTGTCATACGAGCAACGATGATTTTAAAGAATCAACAGAAACGCATCACGGCCAAAGCAACGCGGGAACGGCTTAATCGCCAAAGATCAGCAAGCGGAGCGCGCCTCGCACGTTGTCGGCCAAAAGTCAACGAACTTTCCCTGTACTTGAATCTGCTTCTTGCCTCCCGAAGAATGTATGCGGAAGCAAGTGATTATTTTTACAGTAAAAACTGTTTTCACATATCACTCAACAAGTTACCTTCGACCGCCTTCGATGCGCCATACGGATGGGATCTTACACGAATCAAGAAGTTGCAGGTGGATTTGCAAGTCAAGGATGCTATACGAATGGACCGCTATGTAGATTGGAGGGCGTTCCTTTCCCCTTTTTCGTCTCTCCAACATCTTCGCATTGAACCCACATTCCACCCAAGATACTACGAATGGGCATATCCGGAATTGTCCAACTGGAGCACTACACATTATGTCCACAAGGCGTTTTTCAGAGAACTACTTGCAGCAATACCATACCACGTCAGTCTCAAGGTTGGAGCCCCTCCGGATCTCACTCGGGAGAAGGAGGAAAAGGATCTGATAACGACTCGGAGGATTGACAATCGGTTGCTTTACGATATGTACACTGAATTCGAATATCGGGCCAACCATGGTCCAGCCTCCAGCGTCGTTGACAGTGGGCGAGGCACAATGAGAACCACTCGTCCACATTTGCGGCCCACGGCCATGGGGTTGGGACCGTATTGCCCTTAGTAGAGTAATAAAAGCCTAATTTGGATACTTTATTGCTTCAGTGCCTACTCTAGTGACACAGGGAGTTGACTGCGGTAGTGACGTGACGACGGCTACTACGTCATGCATATGCGTGCTATGGAGCTCGGACAGTGTCACCGACCTAAGCTGCCAACAGTCGACAGCTCCAGACCTCGCTCCTCGATCATCAACCCGCTGATAAGTTACATTGCACATTCAGTTGCAACCATCAATCATCGAGAGATAGTATGAGCTTCCTGCGCCCCGTATCCATGTTGCGCTCTGCGGCGCTACGTCCAGCAGCCCTCTCGTTAGCCCCTCGAGCCCGCCAACAAGTTCGCTTCGCCACTTCAGACTACGGCTCTGGAACTGGCAATCCTGTGGGCGAAAAGCCAGAAAAGCAGGGGCAGAACCCCAGCGAAAACCTCGAGCATCCTGGACCTGCGCCTCCCAAGGTTGCGCAAGGCAAATCGTCGTCTTCTCCCAATTCGGACAATGGCGGCAGCAATTCGAACCCCAAGTCCGATTCATCTACATCCAATGCAAAGACTGGTTCATCATCCGGTAAGCGCGAATTCTCTACATCTGCTCGTCAGAATGCGTCCAAGGAGCCAGCCGTGGAACAAGGCAAACAAAATCGGCCGAGCTCCAGCGAAGTCAAAGGCGCGCAACCCAAGATCCTCAACGAGAACCCTCCCAAGGCCTCTGAACAGAGTGAGGAAGTGAGGAAGCACAACGAGGAAGTTGCAAACAGGGCTGAGAAACCGGCTGGACAGGTCAGCAATGAGGATGCCAAAAAGGACAAGATTCCGGGTGTGTAGTCCCAAGCCCTTTGGTCATTCGATCAATGCTAATTGGTTACAGGAGGCACATCGAGAGGAGGCAGCGATGAGGGAAATGTCGATAAGGTTATCAATGAGGCCACGAAGGAAATGTGAGAAGTCAGTCATCGACGGGAATGCATGTACGAATAAGGCGAGCGAGGAGTTGAGGAATGGATGGCTGCATTGAGCAATCTACATGGGCGTCTACTCTACTTGCTGATTTGTGCGTTTTGGACTCTTGTGCCTGTTCGTAAATGGCTGGAGGCCACGCGGTGAGCGCACATTAAGGTCCATTATGAGGTTTTGCGCATCTCTTGGTGGCGAGGTTCTAGAATGACGTCAAAGATGGTCAGAGCTACGCGCACCGACACCCGATTCCCCGCGCGAGATTGTCATGGGAATTGTGAAAATGCCATGGCAACGCGCTGCGGCTTCATGGTCTTCTAGTCAGACTGACTGAGTCGACCGAGCTGGAGGATTGTTGCCTATAGAATGATGACAGACATAGCTA